TCTGATGGGCAGAGGTCCTCCATAGACACACCCAGCAGCGCATTTACCATGAGGCAAATAAGACGTTTGCTTTGGGTGGCAATTTTCAGGGGAGGGGGAGGAGATGTCACCTCCCCCTGAAAAAAGGTTACATGTGGCATTGATGGGTACCTGGTGAGGCACTGCCCCTGCTCCGCCATGGAATCCGAGGAGGCTGCACACTGCTGGAGGGTGAAAGCAGAGTTCCTGCTCAATTAAGACACCGGGCTTGGTTCCAGGGATGGCCAGCTGCTTTCAGGAGAGGTTAAGGTTAGTGCTGGAATAACACTCTCTGAGTGGGCGAGACGAGGGGGTTGGTGGAGGGTGGCCGTGGGGGAGGGTGCTGGTGGTGGTGGGAGATGCCCAATTCCAGTGTTGCCTAAGTCAGCGCGAAAACGAATTACACCACTGGGCACATCACGGTATCTCAGAGGGTTGTGTGTCCTGGCCACAGCATCCACACCACTCACCAGAGTGGTGAGTAGAGAGAGCAGGAGTGAGTAGATCGAGAAGATCAGAGAGGAGAGTTCCAGTGTCCATGAAGCCACATAGACAATATGGAACTACAAGTCCCAGAAGTTCAGAAAGAGTCTTCTAACCTTTAGGAAGACAAGCAGCCCTCAGCTCCTGTGTGTCCATCACAGGAGTAAACTCAGAAAAGTCTGACCCTTTCTGCTGGCATTTGAATGTTATATTGTCCTTTTTTTGGTTTTATCCAGCTACAGGACAATGCTGTGCTTCCTACTGAGATCAGCCTCATCTACTACCAACTGCGGGGCACAGGAACTCATAGATGAATTAACCACTTGCCCTCCAGAAGATTTACCCCCCTTCCCAACCAGGTCATTTTTTTGCTATTCAGCGCTGCACTATTTCAACTGGTAATTACGCAGTCATGCAGCGCTGTACCCAAACAAAATGTATGTCCTTTTTTAACACAAATAGAGATTTCTTTTGGTGGTATTTGATCACCACTGGGATTTTTATTATATGGGATATAAATGAACAAAGACCGTTAATTTTGAAAAAAAAAAGACATTTTCTACTTTTGGTTATAAAAAATATCCAATATACTCAAGTTTAGTCATATATTTAGGCCAAAATGTATTCTGCTACATGTCTTTGGTAAAATAAAATCCCAATAAGTGTATATTAATTGGTTTGCGTGAAAGTTATAGCATCTGCAAACTATGGAATATACTGTATATTAGAATCTACGCAGCTTTTACTTTCTGACTATCTATCACAGTTTTTAAGGTTCTAAAATGCCCCAAATTACCATTTTGTGAACAGTAGACACTCCAATGAATTTGCTGAGAGGCATGTTGAGTCCATGGAAGATTTTATTTTTTGCCAAAACTTTTTGGAAAATGACAAAACAATTTTTTGCCCCGCAAACAAAGTTGTCTCAGATGATATATTGCTCACACATGCCATGGGTATATGTGGAGTTAAACCCCAAAACACATTCTGCTGCTTCTCCGAAGTATGGGGATACCACATGTGAGAGACTTTTTGGCAGCCTATCCACATACAGGAGCCCAAGATCCAATGACCACCCTTAGGCTTTCAAAGGGCATATTTCCTTATGTCACTTCCTCACTACCTATCACAGTTTCGGTGGCCCTGAAATGCTAGAATAGTACAAACACCCCCCCCAAATTACCCCTTTTTGGAAAGCAGACACCCCAAAGAATTTGATAAGAGGCATGGTGAGTATTTTTCAGATATCATTTTTTATCACAGGGTTCTGAAAAAGAAAAAAACAATTTTGTTTCCTTTCTTCTTTTTCCAAAAACCTGTGGCAACAAATGAGATCTGCCAAATACTCACCATGCCCTCCTTAGCAAATACATTGGAGTGCCTACTTTCCAAAAAGGGGTCATTGAGGGAGGGTGTGCTTGTACTATCCTGGCATTTCAGGGCCAACATTAGAAGCTTATGCGGCACATGACCCACTCTTCTAAGCAGACAAACTGACTGCTTTACACATTTAATTTCAACAAAACAACAGACACAGAAAAAAATTTCTGCCGTCCGCTACGCAGAAGAAAGAAAAAAAAATCCCTATAAAGCATGTTCCAATCTGCTTTTGTGGTGGAAAAGAAATTCCTGGTGTATATATATAAAATAAATGTGTAGTGTATATATAATATATATATATACATTACACATATATATATATATACACACACACACACACATATATATATATATATATATATATACACATATACACACACACCACACATACATACATATACATACATATATATACAGTGGGGATCGAAAGTTTGGGCACCCCAGCTAAAAATTTGTATGAATGTGCATAAAGAAGCCAAGGAAAGATGGAAAAATCTCCAAAAGGCATCAATTACAGATTAGACATTCTTATAATATGTCAACAAAAGTTAGATTTTATTTCCATCATTTACACTTTCAAAATAACAGAAAACAAAAAAATGGCGTCTGCAAAAGTTTGGGCACCCTGCAGAATTTATAGCATGCACTGCCCCCTTTGCCAAGCTGAGACCTGCCAGTGTCATGGATTGTTCTCAATCATCGTCTGGGAAGACCAGGTGATGTCAATCTCAAAAGTTTTAAATGCCCAGACTCATCTGACCTTGCCCCAACAATCAGCACTATGGGTTCTTCTAAGCAGTTGTCTAGAAAACTGAAACTGAAAATAGTTGACGCTCACAAAGCTGGAGAAGGCTATAAGAAGATAGCAAAGCATTTTCAGATGTCAATATCCTCTGTTCGGAATGTAATTAAGAAATGGCAGTCATCAGGAACAGTGGAAGTTAAAGCAAGATCTGGAAGACCAAGAAAAATATCAGACAGAACAGCTCGCAGGATTGTGAGAGAAAAACAAGTGAAAACCCACGTTTGACTGCACGATCCCTCCAGAAAGATTTGGCAGACACTGGAGTTGTGGTACACTATTCCACTATAAAGAGATACTTGTACAAATATGGTCTTCATGGAAGAGTCATCAGAAGAAAACCTCTTCTATGTCCTCACCACAAAAATCATCGTTTGAACTTTGCAAATGAACATAGAGACAAGCCTGATGCATTTTGGAAACAAGTTCTGTGGACCGATGAGGTTAAAATTGAACTTTTTGGCCGGAATGAGCAAAGGTACGTTTGGAGAAGAAGGGGCACAGAATTTAATGAAAAGAACCTCTGTCCAACTGTTAAGCATGGGGTTGGATCAATCATGCTTTGGGGTTGTGTTGCAGCCAGTGGCACAGGGAACATCTCACGAGTAGAAGGAAAAATGTATTCAATAAAATATCAGCAAATTTTGGATGGTAACTTGATGCCATCTGTGAAAAAGCTGAAGTTAAAGAGAGGATGGCTTCTACAAATGGATAATGATCCTAAACACACCTCGAAATCCACGGGGGATTACATCAAGAGGCGTAAACTGAAGGTTTTGCCATGGTCTTCACAATCTCCTGACCTCAACATAATTGAAAATCTATGGATAGACCTTAAAAGAGCAGTGCGTGACAGACAGCCCAGAAATCTCAAAGAACTGGAAGACTTTTGTAAGGAAGAATGGGCAAAGATACCTCAAACAAGAATTGAAAGACTCTTGGCTGGCTACAAAAAGCGTTTACAAGCTGTGATACTTGCCAAAGGGGGCAGTACAAGATATTAACTCTGCAGGGTGGCCAAACGTTTGCAGACGCCATTTTTTTGTTTTCTGTTATTTTGAAAGTGTAAATGATGGAAATAAAATCTAACTTTTGTTGACATATTATAAGAATGTCTAATCTGTAATTGATGCCTTTTGGAGATTTTTCCATCTTTCCTTGGCTTCTTTATGCACATTAATACAAATTTTTAGCTGGGGTGCCCAAACTTTCGATCCCCACTGTATATACACACACACAATGTATGTAAAATAAATATTCACTCAACCACTGTGCGTAAGAATTATCCACACCTGAAATTTACAAGAGATACATCTACATCTATTCCACTTGAAAGAACCCTCTATTCTCCAAGAAATACCTATTTAAATATATGTTTTTATATATATAAAACACACACATTTGTACATACACATTATTATTATTATTTTTATTTTTTACCATATGTAATTTTAATGCAGCGGCTACTATTTATGGGAGATATTTTTTTTTTGCTAAATTTAATTTTAGTTTACTACATGGCATGCACTTGAAAATATATGTGTGTGTATATGTATATATATATACGCAGTGTGTGTGTATATAAACATATATTTCAGGTGCCATGTAGTAAACTAAAATTAAATTTAGCAAAAAAAAAAAATTATTAAAAAAAAATCTCCCTTAGCAGGGCATACATTGTATCCACTACGTTAAAATAAATAAATACAAAAATGTATACCTAAAATTCAGGAGCATGTCTGCCATGTGAGGGCAGAAAGTGTCTTCAGTGCAGAAAGGTTGTCGGCCATTTTGTTGTAGCCCACAGACAGAAGAATTACTCGATGGAACATCTTCAGCTCCAAGCACTTCCTGCTGGGGTTGTAACGCTGGAGGATGTATGAGGAGGAGGTGATAATGTCTTCTTATTATGATAGAATGGGCTCCCAGTACTGTGTGGACTGGACAGAGAAGGATGATCTGGTGATATAGTGGGTCAGGTCACGTGTCCTCCATAGTCAGGGCTCTGCACTGGGGGAGGGGAGGGGGGTTCAGTCTCCTCTGCTGTATTGGGGTCTCTGTAGAGACAAATATTATTACAGAGTGGATTCATGACCATCCTTCCGCTCATCAGCACAGAGCCGGTCCAACCCTTCTTGGCTGAAGCCTCCAATGAGAAATAGGTGGAAAAGATGTGCGATGCTTGCTTTTATATTTGCTTTCATATTTATTTTTTCTGATTGCCACTTTCTGTTTCATATAACAGAAAACACAGCCCCATCCCAGGTAAGAAAAAATAATACAACAAAAAACTTCTGAACAAATCACCCGACTGAAAATGGAGATGGAGAGGAAACACACGACTGAGAGGATATTAAACCTCACCCTGGAGATCATCTACCTGCTGACCGGAGAGGTGAGGAGGATTCTGGGAGGTCACATGACATCACTTATCTCTATTAATAAAACAGACCTGACTGGAGAGGTGAGAAGGATTCTGGGAGTTCACATGACATCACTCTTTCTTAAAACACAGACCTGACCAGAGAGGTGAGGAGGATTCTGGGAGGTCACATGATATCACTCTTATCTCTATTAATAACACACATACCTGACCATAGAGGTGAGGAGGATTCCGGAAGGTCACATGACATCACTCTTATCTCTATTACTAAAACACAGACCTGACCGGAGAGGTGAGGAGGATTCTGGGAGTTCACATGACATCACTCTTATCTCTATTAATAAAACACAGACCTGACCGGAGAGGTGAGGAGGATTCTGGGGGGTCACATGACATCACTCCTATCTCTATTAATAAAACGGACCTGACCGGAGAGGTGAGGAGGATTCTGGGAGGTCACTTGACATCACTCCTATCTCTATTAACACACAGACCTGACTGGAGAGGTGAGGAGGATTCTGGGAGGTCACATGACATCGCTCTTACCTCTATTAATAATACAGACCTGACCAGAGAGGCCAAATGGATCGTAGCTGTATTTAATTGAATGCATTGATAATGTTTATTTTGAATGCTGTTTTAATATTTTGCTTCTAATGTAGAATTATATAGCTTTCAAGTTATCTGAAGGCTTGGTTGCTTCCAATATGATGAAGATTCGAAGCCCCATTATAGAGCCTCCGTCTCAGTTATTGAGAAAGAACAAAAAGGTCCAGGAAGTCACCAGCGAGATCATTGAGCTGCTGACAGGAGAGGTGAGCGGTGCTGGGAATTCTGGGACATTCTCCAGTAACAGACAAGGGATGTGTCTGTATGGTGACTGTATCATTGTGTGTGTCAGGTTCCTATAAGGAGTCAGAATGCAGCTGGTGTTTTCTCCATGGAGGGGTGGGATTATTTAGGAGGACACAATGATCTCTTCAAGGACGTCATGATGGCAAACCGGCCGCCCCTCACATCACCAGGTAAGGGACTTCTTGTAAAAGGAGAGGATCCAATTCGATTTTTATTTCTCATATTTATGGTATCAACATTTCCAACTAATGTTACTCCCATCCTCATAAACTCAAATCAGATCAGTATGGGTGCCAATAACCTACTAACTTGTTTTTGGGTTGTAGGAGAAAACCAGACTTCCTGGAGGAAACGTGCACCAAGATGGGAAGAACATACAAACTTTATGCAAGAAGTGCCCATGGTGGGACTTCGGACCTCAACATTTCAAGGCAAGAGTGATTAACAATGCGCTGAAATGTCATAGAGACATCCTCTGACATAAAGACACGAGGACAATGTATTCACTCAGCGTGTGTTCCCTACAGATGGATCCAGTAACAGAAATACAGCAGGGAGATGTCCCCGTCCTCTGTATTCTTGGGATTCCCTTCAGGAACAACACAAGATCCCTCATTGTTATCAGGTAGAGTCCAAGAGGTATTTAGCCAAACTGTCCGTGATAAGCACCTCTCCACCCTGAATTTCCTGGATGGAGTTCAGGGACATCATGCTCAGAACAAAACCAGCCATAAAAAAAATCTTTGACGTCTAGTCTAGTCGAGCTCGGTGTCTTTCTGTATTCCTGGAAAATAACCTTTTTTATCTCTGATCGATACAGAAGAAAGTTTTGCTTTTATGTTTAATGGTAATAAGACAACAATAGAAGGAAAGTTTCTGATTCTTCTGTAGGTTTCGCTGGATGCACTCCAGATTGATGGTAGAACAAAAGCTAGAAAGGAAGCAGAAGAGATGTATGTGAGGGATCATGAGCCATGTGAGGAGGAGATCCCTCCAGAGATCAGCACAGGTGAGAAATAAACACTAAATCCAGAGAAGAGTCCCAGATCCTCCTTGTTCAGTCACTACAACCATCTCTTCTTCTCCTCCCTCCTCTGTCAGTAGACAGTAATGGGGGGACAGTATGTACCCAGTGGGGGGGTCAGAAGCCATCACCCTCTATTAGACTCCGGCTCTCCTCCTCATGTCATTGAGACGTGACCAGTCTCCCCCCACACACACTCTCTGGGGTCTCTCATACATCTCAGTACAGGGGGCTTCACTCTCATCTTTATTCACAGACCATGGTGACACCGGACCAATTAATTTAGATGTCAGTGCGGAGGAGGATGACGTAATATGTGTGAAGATAGAAGAGGATGAAGTACCTATAAATATTAGCACAGGTGAGCCATACACAGGTGATACTGAATGAAAAATTCAACCTTGTCTAGCATCTATGAAAACTATTTCCAACTTCTAATATCTTCTTATCTTCTCCCTTCTTGGGTCTCCACCATGTATCTAAAAGAGTTACGATTGCCTCAAATTTTGGTTTCTTCTTGTAAAACAACATGATCTTTGCCTGAATTTATGGTGTTGTCAGTTAAGATCTGTAAAATGATGGTAGGCCATGGCTTATGCAGGCCATAGACGGGTCGAACATCGGCTGATTTTTAAAAGAAAAAAAAAATGAAAAATCGTTCGTTCGTTTGGACGACGTTACCACCAACAGTAAAAAAAAAATCGTCCGATAAAATCATAAAGTTCACCCCATATCTTCTGTCCCTTGCAGATCACGGCTCATGCGCAGACTTTTTATCGGTAAAACGGTTGGGCGATTTGCCCATCATTCCCGGGAAAATTGGCCGATCGTCAAAATCGGCCGCAAACTTTCCAACATGACCGATAAAAAAATGTGCAACAAGCACGAGAAATGGGCCGACCAATTAACCCACTAACAGTGCGAAAATCAGCTGATTTTTTTTTTTTCGGCAGAAAAATAGACTGATTTTTGACCCATCTATGGCCGGCATTAGAGTGCATCAAGTGGTGTCTTCCCAGATAAGTCTCATGGCTTCAAGAGAGTGCACCAGTGCCTACATGTTACTACCCAGAGAGATCTCATGGCTTCAAGAGAGTGCACCAGGAGGTGCCTACATGTTACTACCCAGAGAGATCTCATGGCTTCAAGAGAGTGCACCAGGAGGTGCCTACATGTTACTACCCATAGAGGTCTCATGGCTTCAAGAGAGAGTGCACCAGAGAGGTCTTCATGTTATACCCAGGGAGATCTCATGGCTTCAAGAGAGTGCACCAGGAGGGCCTTCATGTTACTACCCAGAGAGATCTCATGGCTTCAAGAGAGTGCACCAGGAGGTGCCTACATGTTACCCAGAGAGGTCTCATGGCTTCAAGAGAGTGCACCAGGAGGTGCCTTCATGTTACTACCCAGGGAGATCTATGGCTTCCACCAGGAGGTGCCTTCATGTTATTACCCAAAGAGGTCTCATGGCTTCAAGAGAGAGCACCAGTAGGTGCCTTAATGTCCCTACATGGAGAGGTTCCATGGCTTCATGAGAGTGTCCCAGAAGGTGCCTTCATGTCCCAACATAGAGAGGTCTCATGGCCTCAAGAGAGTGCACCAGAAGGTGTTTTCATGTCCCTACACAGAGAGGTCCTATGGCTTCAAGACAGTGCCCCAGAAGCTGCATTTGTGGCCCTACACAAAGTGGTCCCATGGCTTCAAGACAGCGCACCATAAGGTGCCTTCATGTGCCAACATAGAGAGGTCTCATGGCCTCAAGAGAGTGCACCAGAAGGTGTTTTCATGTCCCTACACAGAGAGGTCCTATGGCTTCAAGACAGTGCCCCAGAAGCTTCATTTGTGTCCCTACACAAAGTGGTCCCATGGCTTCAAGACAGTGCACCATAAGGTGCCTTCATGTCCCAACATAGAGAGGCCTCGAGAGTGCACCAGAAGGTACTTTCATGTCCGTACACAGAGAGGTCCAATGGCTTCAGGAGACTGCCCCAGAAGGAGCTTTCATGTCCCTACACAGAGAGGTCCTGACATAGAGAGGTCCCTAGAAAATAGATTTTCACTCAAACTGCAGTTGTACTGTGGTGCGTAGGAATATATTACCCCAACCTAATATTGCTTTTTAATTTAATTTAATCTTTTCAAAACACTTTTCATGTACATTAGCCTGCCGTGTATATTTAACAATTCTTCAACTCTTCCTCTCCCAACCCTGTTTCCTGCAGATGTTCAAGGTACTGGTTATAACTCAAAGAAACGTCATATCGTCTTTCCAGGAAATGAATTAGATGTCATCACAACAGAGGCTCTGGAGAAAAACCCTGTTACCCCAAATCATCATCCAGCTCTTCTTAGTGCACATCTATTATCTCATCCCTCTACGCACGGGAGGAGTTTACCCAATCACCCAACTCCTATAACCCATCGCCCAGATCACCGAGCGGGTCCAGTGTTCCCGTGTTCTATTTGCGGCAAATGCTTTAGCTGGAAAGGCAGCCTCGTCGAACATCTGCGAATTCATACTGGAGAGAAGCCATACTCCTGCTCAGAATGTGGGAAATGTTTTGCCAAAAAAACCAAACTTACATTACATCAGAGGACCCACACAGGGGAGAGGCCGTACGGCTGCACAGAATGTGGGAAACGGTTTACCAGGAGGGACCATCTCAGCATACATCAGAGGACCCACACAGGGGTGAAGCCGTATTCATGTACGGACTGTGGGAAGAGTTTCAGCCAGAGAGCCTTTCTCATCGTACACCAGAGGGCACACACGGGGGTGAAGCCGTACTCGTGTACGGAATGCGGGAAGGGTTTTACCGGAAAAGCCCACCTTATTGTACACCAGAGGACTCATACCGGGGAAAAGCCGCATTCGTGCCCAGAATGTGGGAAATGTTTCACTGAAAGATCTCAACTTCTCAGACATCGAATGAGTCACTCTGGTGCCCGTCCGTATTCGTGTCCTGTGTGTGGGAGAGGTTTTAGCAGCAAAGCCAGTCTGGATAGACATCAACCCCTTCATGCAAGCGGTAATCTGCATGAGTGTCCCGAATGAGGAAGAGTAGAACAGTTCTGGATGTTGTTGGGGTTTTTTTTTGGTCATATTTCAACAGGGAACAGGAGGCACTTGTGTCAAGAAACGCCAGGCGAGCAACTTGTGTGCACACGGGTGTCTTTCCTACTTCTTGAAACAAAACTAGGATAGTGAATAATTTTTTTGCCTATTTGTGGACATGGATGATAGCACACGGCTATTACTTTTTCTTTTTTTTCTTTCCTGACTTTAAAGTTTTGGATTTACTGGTTCAGTTTTTGGCATTGTAGCCAACAGAAAGGAGATGTCTGTTTTTGTTCGTGTGTGAGCTTTCCTTCAGGGTTGTAGAATGTTTGGGGTTTTTTTTAGGTAAATTCATTGAGAAAGAAACTGACAAAGCATGTAGTGACAGTAGTATGAAAATACAATATTTAGTGGCTAACCGTGTTATGTCTTGTTTGTCCTTGTTCGCTTTTGACATGTGTAGCTGCTCAGAGGTGACAGAGCATGGTCAGTCTGGTACGATCTGTCCCCCCTCATCTGAGCAATCCTGTTTATAGCATGTGTTTAGGTAGAAATTGATTAGATAAAATTGTCCACATGAAATGGGGGCGCGCTGGACACCTCTTTCTGCCATTGTGTTATATGCTGGGTGTCCAGTTCACTCCTGTGCCTTTAAGGAGGGGTGGACTCCCTCCAGGCATACCTTCCCTCAATCTATCCATTATGATATACACTCACCGGCCTCTTTCTTAGGTCCACCTGTTCAATGGCTTAGTAACACAAATTGCTAATCAGCCAATCACACGGCAGCAACTCAATGCATTTAGGCATCTAGATGTGGTGAAGACAACTTGCTGAAGTTCAAACTGAGCTTCAGAAAGGGGATTTAAGAGACTTTGAACGTTGGTCTGAGTATTTAAAAAACTGCCGATCTACTGGGATTTTCACGCACAACCATCTCTAGGATTTACAGAGAATGGTCCGAAAAAGAGAAGATATCCAGTGAGCGCCTGTTGTGTGGACAAAAATGCCTTGTTGATGTTAGAGGAGAATGGGCAGAACGGTTCGAGATGGCAGAAGGGCAACAGTAACTTAAATAACCACTCGTTACAACCAAGGTATGCAGCAGGCCATCTCTGAACACACATATCGAACCTTGAAGCAGATGGGCTACAGCAGCAGAAGTCTACGCCGGGTGCCACTCCTGTCAGCTAAGAACAGGAAACAGAGGCTACAATTCATACAGGATCACGAAAATTGGACAATAGAAGGTTGGAAAAATGCTGCCTGGTCTGATGAGTCTGAATTTCAGCTACAACATTCAGATTGTAGGGTCAGAATTTGGCATAATCAACATGAAAGCATGAATCCATCCTGCCTTGTGTCAAAGGTTCAGGCTGGTGGTGGTTTCATCCTGCCTTGTATCAACAGTTCAGGCTGGTGGTGGTGGTGTCATGGTGTGGTGGATCCATCCTGCTTTGTATCAATGGTTCAGGCTGGTGGTGGTGGTGTCATGGTGTGGTGGATCCATCCTGCCTTGTATCAATGGTTCAGGCTGGTTTTGGTGGTGTCATGGTGGGAGGGAGAGTTTCTTGGCACACTTTTGGCCCCTGAGTACCAATTGAGCATCGTTTAAATGCCACATATTGTTGCTGACCATGTCCATCCCTGTGTGACTCCAGTGTCCCCATCTTCTGATGGCTCCTTCCAGCAGGATAATGCACCATGTCACAAAGCTCAAATCATCTCCAACTGGTTTCTTGAACATGACAATGAGGTCACTGGACTCCAATGTCCTCCACAGTCACCAGATCTCCATCCAATAGAGGACCTTTGGGATGTGGTGGAATGGGAGATTCACATCATGGATGTGCAGCTGACAAGTCTGCAGCAACTGCATGATACTACCATGTCAATATTGACCAAAATCTCTGAGGAAAGTTTCCAACACCTTGTTGAATCTATGTCATGAAGAATGGCATAAGGGAGTGCAACCCCGTACTAGCAAGGTGGACCTAATTAAGTGGCTGGTGAGTGTATATTAAGCAAACATACCTGGGGCTCATTAAATTTGACTGCAATCCCTACACTTGGATGGGTTCTGTTCAGAAATGACTACCAACTAATAAACACAATGTTGCATTCTCTTTACTATAATGGTGTAGCGCTACCCCCACAGGGGCCGCTTGATAATGCTTGTCCCCAGTGGTTGCCCTGACCTTTTCAAGTCTCCCAACACCTCTGACACTCTGGGTTCAGCCAAATATTAACAGTATGAAATATTAATGCAAGAAACACGATTTTTTTTTTTTAGTAACACCTCTATATTAGAGGCTCCTTCAAAAAAGTAGACCACAAAATGAAAGTACACCCCCAGGTAACGCATAAGAGCAAAACACCAACATGGAAATAACCAAATAGCAACAGATGATAAGATTACAAATGGTACGTCGTAACTATGTAAGTGCAACACCAGCAGCAGAAGGGGGAAGAAAAGGCTTGTTGACTTATCATCTCCATATATATATATATATATTTACCATGGCCTTTTATCTTCACTGATTTACCATTACTCACTACTGTATATGGGCCCCACCATTGCTAACAAAAGACTATCACATCAGGATTATATATATACTCTGGCATAAATGGGTACAGACACACTAGCTTGAATAATAATGGCTTAGATGCTAAGAACTCCCTTTACCTAGGAACCAAGCAACTTGAGTCCTGGGATGTTTAAAGTTCCTGATGTGATAGTCTTTTGTTAGCAATGGTGGGGCCCATATACAGTAGTGAGTAATGGTAATTCAGTGAAGATAACAGGCTATGGTAAATGGTCAAAGCAAAGAGCTACTGGTACTGAGGTGTAAAGCTGTCTGCATGCAGTGTCTCTAGAATGTTATCAGAAAGAGGTTGGGCATCCTTCTGCTCATGGATAGCATGGCCTCCTAGGAACAGGGTTCTTGCACAGGCTCTTGGCTGTTTGCAGAGAAGTGCAGAGTTGCCACCTGAAAGCTTGTCAGTGCAGCATGTATAGGTGACTGGCTGAAGACTGGATAGTGACAGTCCTGATGCAAAGAAGATGATGCGTCCCGGGGTGGAGATTGGCGTCACCACCACTGTGCTGAACTGGTATGTGGAGTCCCGCGGTATTAGCCAGCAATCTGTCTCTGGAGGAGAGCAGCAGTCCCCCTGTGCTCAGTTCTGAATCCTGCAGCAAGAGAACCAGCCAGATCCTTGCTGTAGAATATATATGTGCTCTCCCAGCATCCTTCTGGTTCCCCGACTCTCTGGTAGTTGTAGTTCAATCAGTACTCAGAAATAGAGTATGTATTGGATATAGGACTACAGGTCCCAGGATCCTCTCCCATCAGAAGAACTGGGTCCACTCTGCTAACAGGAAGTGATGTAGCAGTCCCAGTAACGGGCACTAGGGGGAAAATGGATTAACCATAGTCCCTACTGTAAATTTCCCTGAATGTTGTAATGATAGCGCCTACACCTGGCTACAATGGTTATGTTGCATTTTAAAGGGTAGTAAATGTTCCACAATTGCTTTGCTGTCTCTGGCTTCAATAACCTTTAACACATATGCATGCCTTCACTAGCCACATACTTGTTTTGAGTCCATGATTAGTTTTTTTAATTCATTATAGGTACCTATATAGCTCTGCCAATTTAGGCAGCGCTTTCCATCTATATTGTACATTCACATCAGTCTCTGCCCTCATGGAGCTTGCAATCTAAGGTCCCTAACTCACATTCATACATACTAGAAACCCACGCAGGCACGGGGGGAACATGCAAACTCCAGGCAGCTGGTGCCGTGGTTGGGATTTAATGCAACGACCCTAGGCAGAAGTGCTAACGACTAAGCCACTGTGCTACCCATTCTAAATATTCAAGGATTTTTAGAGGATGGATGGTGTCCATTTTTCTGTTAGCACAGAAATCTTAATTTATAACTCTGGGACTGAGTTTTCAAGGTCTGTGCACCAGCCAGAGGTGTTCAAATTTTCTCTGCACATTCCAAGATCTTCATAGCTAACAGGATTGGTTCTAATTTGGTGATCTCCTGATGGTTTAGGTGAGCCATCGCAGTGGTGTTGTCTACGTAGTAGACCATAAATTCTGTCTTTCTGATCTGACTCTGAAGGGCCCTGAGCACTTTGCCTACCACTAAAACCTTCCATAAATTCTGTCTTTCTGATCTGACTCTGAAGGGCCCTGAGCACTTTGCCTACCACTAAAACCTTCCATAAATTTGAGGATCACTTGAGATCTGAAGGCCAAGTGCCCTGAACCTGTAAGGAGCCCACGTGCACTCCCCAGCCCCATGCACTTGCCTCGGAGAGGATTCTTCTGAGATCAATGTCTTCCTCCCTGGATGTTCCTCTGGTCCCCCAACCAAGTAGGCCTTTGTATCACTGCAAGAGGTAAGGTAGTAAGGGATGTCAAGGTAATTCTCTGTGTCCCACATTGTCAAGAAAAGGTATCACGTACCTGGTGATGGAGGCCAATGGAGAGAGGACTTCCCTTGTGGCTATGTTCCGGACTCCCCTGAGAGTGGGACAGCGGGAGTCAGGCCCAAAGTTGCACAGGTCGCCTGTAGGAGTGCTGGTTGGTGGTCCACTCAGAAGCACAGCTGGTGCATGGAGATAGGTCTCCATCCCTTCCGGGATTTAGATGTTTACTGGGTAGTCGGTTCAAGCCAAGGTCAGGTACCAGGTGGGAATCAGAGCAGACGTAGTCACATGGGATAGCCAAAGTCATACACAGAGGAGCGAGAGAGAGAGTATCCGTAAGCCAAGCTGAGGTCAGATCAGGGGTAAAGCAGAGTAGACAGGTCCAGGAGCAAGCTGAGTCGGTAACAGGAAATCACAGGTCAAAATCACAGGAAACAGGACACGGGGAGCTAGAGATCATCCAGCAACTTGAGGAAGTGATGAGGCTCCTTATAAAGGCCGTCTGGCACCAAACTGAGGCTGATGTGTGCTTCTGTGGCCATGCAGAGT